ACTAGTTTTGAATTCACAATCCTCCTGCCTCATCCTCTTATGTGCTGGAATAACAGGCATGTGCCTGTTCAGCGAGAATAGATTTTCTTTTCTTTCTTTTTTTTTTTTTTTTTGGCAGAACCAGGGATTGAACTCAGATCCTTGAGTTTGCAATCAAGCGCTTATCCTACTGAGCCATCTCCCCGGCCCCTAGAACAGATTTTCTAAAAATCTAGACCTTTTGGGAGGTTACTCTTCAGATATACTATATGTGTAGAAATTCTACAAAGGTCAATGAATAGATGTTGATGTTCACAGCTTTGTAGACGATTGATAGTACTATTGTAAATCAACAAGAAATTCTCAAGGAATTTTGTAGCAAAAGAAAGGCATCTACAGAAGGTTCTAGTTAGGCTACTAATTAAATTACTTTTATTTTTATGTTTCCTGAGATGGAACTCTTGGTCTCACACATGCTAGGCAAGCATTTTTATCACTGAGCTACAGTCCCTAGCAGGAGTGTTATTTAATGAATCATTTAACATAAGCCTACATAGGCTGAGGGAGCTCAGTGGTCCAGTGCTTGCTAAGCATGCACAAACCCTAGATTCAGTCTCCAGTACCCCTCCCCTCTGCCCCAGATTAAGAATTACAGGTCTTTTTTACAACAGTAGCTCAAGAAAGCTGGGCAAAACTCTGTCACTGACCTAAAATCCAGAGGACATATCTTCCTCTGAAGAATCTAGTATTATATACAGGAGTCGAGCTTTTTTTTAAAAAAATGTGTGTCAGTCTGGTCATTTATTTATTCTAAGAGGGAAGGCTAACTCTAAGCCAAAGGCTACTGACTTGGAGAGCTTCTGAAAGGGTCTGGTGGTGGCCAATATGTGAGAATAAAAAAGCCTCACCTCATGACAAAAGTAGCTTGCCTATTCCTAATTTAATGCTTTGATTACAATAATTTACATGGTATTCTTGTAAAGTACATTCAGTTGTCCAAAGTAAAACAAAGGACTTTTAACTACAGGACACTAATTTTGTTAAGTCCTGAATTATCCGAGCTAAAAGTCAAGTGTAAGGAGAATTTTATAAAAGCTCAGTTGGGGGGCCGGAGAGATGGCTCAGTGGAATAAGTGCTTCCCTGGCAAGTGCAAGGGTCTGAGTTGAATTCCGGTTCCATAAAAACAAAACAAAACAAAACAAAACAAAACAAAACAAAACAAAACAAAACAAAACAAAACAAAACACAACTCAGTTGTTGAAATTTTACACTTGAGGAAGGAAGACTAAGGAAAAAAGGAAACCCTTGTCTACCTTGTCAAGATCCAAAATCTAGAAATGATCCTTATGAAGATTCACTACTATTATATTTCTTTTGGTAAATGTTTCCTCTGGTCTGCACCATTAATTTTACCAATGTGAATTACTGAATATTATACCATGTCTGGGGTCTTAGGCCAATAATATAGGAGTATTCACATACTTCCTCTCAAGTAGCTCACCTTTCAATATGAAACAAGAGTTTCAAAGTAAATGTTTGCTAAAATAAACCAACACATGTAAGATGACTTACAGAACTTTTAAAAATCTTTTAAATTGTGCATGCCACTATGCCCAGCTGTGTACAGTATGAAAAACAGTGGTTTCAATATTGGCTGATTCAGAACTACCTCATAAAGAATCTCATAAAATAAAGAATAATTCTGCTTCACATCAAGCTGGATGTTTTGGAACATGCCTGTAATCCCAGCACTCTGAGTGGCTCATGCAGGAATACTGCAAGGTAGAGCCTAGCCTGGGAAACTTAGCAAGCCCTTAATGACCTTGTCTCAAAAAAACATTTCGGGAAATAGATTAGTTTGAAGGCCCTCAGTCCTATCTACAGCATGGTGCAGTGCTTCATACATATTTCAAGCAAAAAAAAAAACCCCAATCCTATCCCAGATCTAATGAATATAAGCTTTCCAAAAGCAATTAATTCAACGCCACTAACCCTGTCATATACTATGGAACTTCTTGAGTAAAAATACTGAAATACTGTACTAGGGATTGAATTCAGGGTGATGACAATATGCCTTGACTTTTAAATTCTTTTATTTTAAGGCAGGCTCTTGTGAAGTCACTAAGTTACACAGGCTGTGACCGAATTTGTGATCCACCTGCTTCAGCCTCCTGAGTGCTGGGGTTACAGGCATGTGCTACCATGCCTGGTTTAAACTGTTACAATGAAAAAAATAAAACTTAAGTTAGGTACAGTGGTATATACCTATACTTCTAGTTGCTTGGGAGGATGATGTTGGAGGGTCACTTGAGCCCAGGAATTAAGAGACCACAGTGGGTAATATAACAAGACCCAATCTCAAAAACAAAACAAAAAACCCAAACTTCCCAAAAGAAAACTATAAATCCAATTTAACATTACTTCTATTATTACTATTTCTATTTTCAATACTGACTATCATAAAACACAGGTACCCTAATTTATGGGGAAAGAGCTTGTTTTTGATTCAAACCTGGAACTGAATCCTAACTTTGATGTTTACTAGCTGGGTAACCCTGGACAAATT